TAAGAACCTAGACAGACTGAAAGTAGCCTTCTCAGGCTCACCCACTGGGCAAAAACTGGTTGAGTCAACGTTGTTTCCACGTAATTTCAACCAAAAAACTCAATGTGATGATGTTAAATCAATGTGGAAAACTGATTGCATTTGCAAAAAGTCATCAACGTAAAGGCATTTCATATTTCTTTCATCCAATAACATGGTGACAGTTGTTGTTGATTTCACGTTGAATTCACATTAGTTGACAACTCAACGAAATGTAAATCAAAACCAGAAGTTGAACTGTGCACACTGTCTGCATCCGAAAAAGGACACACAGGACCATATACAGTTGATGTCAGAAGTTTACATAAGCCTTAGCCAAATACATTCAAAATCTGTTTTTCACCATTCCTGACATTCAATCCTAGTAAAAATTCCCTGTCTTACGTCAGTTAGGATCACCACTTTATTTTAAGGATGTGAAATGTCAGAATAATAGTAGAGAGAATGATTTATTTCAGCTTTTATTTCTTTCATCACATTCCCAGTGGGTCAGAAGTTTACATACACTCAATTAGTATTTGGTAGCATTGCCTTTAAATTGTTTAACTTAGGGTCAAACGTTTCGGGTAGCCTTCCATAAGCTTCCCACAATAAGTTGGGTGAATTTTGGCCCATTCCTCCTGACAGAGCTGGTGTAACTGAGTCAGGTTTGTAGGCCTCCTTGCTCGCACACACTTTTTCAGTTCTGCCCACACATTTTCTATAGGATTGAGGTCAGGGCTTTGTGATGGCCACTCCAATACCTTGACTTTGTTGTCCTTAAGCCATTTTCCTACAACTTTGGAAGTATGCTTGGGGCCATTTGGAAGACCCATTTGCGACCAAGCTTTAACTCCCTGACTGATGTCTTGAGATGTTGTTTCAATATATCCTCCTAATTTTCCTTCCTCATGATGCCATCTATTTTGTGAAGTGCACCAGTCCCTTCTGCAGCAAAGCACCCCCACAGCATGATGCTGCCACCCCCGTGCTTCACGGTTGGGATGGTGTTCTTCAGCTTGCAAGTGACCCCTTTTTCATCCAAACATAACGATGGTCATTATGGCCAAACTGTTCTATTTTTGTTTCATCAGACCAGAGGACATTTCTCCAAAAAGTACGATCTTTGTCCTCATGTGCAGTTGCAAACCGTAGTCTGGCTTTTTTATGGCGGTTTTGGAGCAGTGGCTTCTTCCATGCTGAGCGGCCTTTCAGGTTATGTCGATATAGGACTCGTTTTACTGTGGATATAGATACTTTTGTACCTGTTTCCTCCAGCATCTTCACAAGGTCCTTTGCTGTTGTTCTGGGATTGATTTGCACTTTTCGCACCAAAGTACGTTCATCTCTAGGAGACAGAACGCGTCTCCTTCCTGAGCGGTATGACAGCTGCGTGGTCCCATGGTGTTTATACTTGCAAGCTATTGTTTGTACAGATGAACATGGTACCTTCAGGCATTTGGAAATTGCTCCCAAGGATGAACCAGACTTGTGGAGGTCTACAATCTTTTTTCTGAGGTCTTGGCTGATTTCTTTTGATATTCCCATGATGTCAAGCAAAGAGGCACTGAGTTTGAAGGTAGGCCTTGAAATACATCCACAGGTACACCTCCAATTGACTCAAATGATGTCAATTAGCCTATCAGAAGCTTCTAATGCCATGACATAATTTTCTGGAATTTTCCAAGCTGTTTAAAGGCATAGTCAACTTAGTGTATGTAAACTTCTGACCAACTGGAATTGTGATACAGTGAATTATAAGTGAAATAATCTGTCTGTAAACAATTGTTGGAAAAATTACTTGTGTCATGCCCAAAGTAGATGTCCTAACCAACTTGCCAAAACTATAGTTTGTTGACAAGAAATTTGTGGAATGGTTGAAAAACAAGTTTTAATGACTCCAACCTAAGTATATGTAAACTTCCAACTTCAACTGTAATACTGATATCACCCTGGTCTACAGACATGTCTTCACCAACATTGCCAATGCTTACAGTCCGACGACTGGTATCTTTAGAGCACCAATGAGAGGAGCATACTACTTAAGATATACTGCCTTTTCAGCATCTAAATGTAGGAGAGTGTATCTATATAAAAATGTAAATGTTATTGTGACTGTGACTGATACTTCATCCAGACATGATGGAGAGGACAGTGGATCCAATGGTGTCACACAGCAGTTGAACGCAAGGTATAAAGTCTACACACGTCTGAGTTACCATTGTCACATCTATGATGATTGAGCCGTTTCACCGGCTTCCTGCTCTTCACTTAGAAAGTTGTTTACTTACTATGTTGTCTGCCTGATTACCTTAAGAAGTGCACTCTTTTAGGCTGTGATTGAGATTCTTCAACACATGTTCGGACTAAGAATTTGAAGGAATGCATGTGAAAACTGAACATATTTTATTGCATTAGCTAATGAAATACATGAACTGTGCTGTTGAAGGCCATGCTAGAAAAATTAAGTTGGAGGTGAATTTAAATTTGATCGAAAATAGAAGTTGAAAGATGTATAAAAGACATGACCATGTTTGACGGATTTAAGTAGTTTGTTGAAATAATGCAGAATGGTTGAAATGTTGAAATAATGAATACAATTTGCGAGTAAGCATATTTTACAAATTGTTTACAATATTCTCTTCTTAGTCAAGAATGTACCCTACACAAATTTAGGAATGAGCTCCCTCAAAAGTTCACAATCGGTCAATACTAAATAAAAATGTCCCTTCTTAAAAGCTTACAGAGTACTGATGTTTGTCCTGTGGCCCATCAGGGTTGTCATTGACCGTTGAAATTCATAGTTTTGGGGGGGAAATGCCTTCTCCATGACCTCTGCTAAAAAATCCATAGAATTTGTTGTACAATGATGGGCTGCTTTCGCTAGGAAAAGGTTATACTCCTGACCTGCAAACCAATATTTAAGGTTAATGTGGAACACTAAATGCGTAACTGGCTTGACTGGCGTATGACTACAGATGTACTTCCTCTGTCAGAAGGAAAGGCTGAATCCAGCAGAGCCGTTCAAACTGTAAATTATTTATTAAACATGGATTTGTGTGCACCTTGATGCAATTTTGGCAGAGATCGCATATAAAAAATGGTTTAATCAAAAACTATGGATTTCAACACACACTTCGTACACTTGCTCAGTGTCACGGGATTAGATACACGTTGTCAGTAAGTACATATCAGTACCATGAGGTGGACCAGCTCTTAGGGCCATGTAGGCTCGAAACCAACCAGTGGTTCAATCTACTGGCTCTGTCATTGCCTACTACTACACCGCTGAATCTCACTGACTTACAGAACATATTAACTGAAGACGATGTGGGCGATGAAACTTGGGAAAGCATAGAAGAAGTGAAGTGGGCGGGGGACTACTGGGCAATGTGAGCATGGGCGAGGGACGTGAACAGGGCGGGACTGAAGTTGGGGGAAGCTGAACTTTATGGAAATACGTTGCGACATTGCGGCACTGTTGACCAATCAAAGATCACTATAGCTTCCAGACCCTACTGGATTAGTTGTTGATACCTAGCAGTACCTAACATGCTCGCTAGCTTGCTAGCACCCACACGAGGGGAAAGCTAGTGTGGAGAGGCGAAATACAAGTGCTAGTCAATACGTACTTTGAGTCTGCCACCTTGTGTCATATACTGTAGTATAGTATGTGACTTAATGAATTTCATGAACACCTGGGGCCTCTGTTCCATGGTGTGCTATAAAATATGCATTAGCTTGTCCAATTAGATTACAATATGTATTATTTGCTGGAGTTTTATGGAATTAAATTGTTATGAATTGAAATATCAATAAAAGTTTGATGTGAAGATTAATCATATTATTTTCTCTCTTCATGTTGGGCATTACAGTTAGTGAGACAGTCCATACATTTTTAGAGAAATCCAAACAGCAATTTACAATAATTGTGTATGTTTGGCCACTGCCAAATGTGTGCGGTCTGCAGCCGCTTGTACACAAAATGATGAGATGATTAAGCTACTGTGGACCACACAGTTGGCACTTGACACGCATATTGGGCACGCACAATAATGTCATCCTGTTAAAACAACGCAAAGAACAAGAAGATCAAGCTCTATGAATCTGCTCAATCAACTGCCCGCCGGTTTGCTTCAATAGGCTGATCTTGTCGCTGCCTCTCGTGGTACTTGGACCTGCCTAGTGCCAAGTCTTCTCGCAGAGCGTATCCAGTCATCGGACCCTGCGGCAATTTGCTTTGCTGGGGGTCAAACCGCACTCATTAGACCAGTCTCCAACTTTAGAGAACTTTCACTCCTGGCATCCGGTGAGTAACATATCCTGGTATTTTGGTCGTCAACAAATGTGTACATTGACCGCTTGTTAATAGTTCATTGGGAGATCCAACATTATTTTCATATTGCCATAAAAACATTGCTTCTTATTTCTGTAAAAGAAAAACCTGTTCTCATACAGGATTATTCTGAACAGATGATCATCAATGTCATCTATAATTTTCTTTCTTTCTTTCTTTCTTTCTTTCTTTCTTTTTTCTTTCTTTCTTTCTTTCTTTCTTTCTTTCTTTCTTTCTTTCTTTCTTTCTTTCTTTCTTTCTTTCTTTCTTTCTTTCTTTCTTTCTTGATCTCATGTTTATGACAGTGATTCTAGACCATAGATAATGTTCTAGATACTCTATTTTACACTTGAGCCAGTTTATGGTATCTCTCTGTTCACCACTCATTCTCTCTTCAGATTCTAGTTAGTGTCAGAGTGTTTCTGTCCTTGCTGGGGCGCTCTGAGACTGCAATATGAGGCTGACGTTTGGGATATTCCCAAAGGATGGCCCCTGTATAACCCTCTCTGGCATCACCGTGGCTCTATGTACACTCACCCTGCTCCTAGTGGCTCTCAGGGGCTGAAAGCGAGAGGGCGGGAGCCGCCCCAAAGGCACTCTGCCCCCGGGGCCGACCCCGTAGCCCCTGGTGGGTAACCTGTTCCAGATGGGAGACCAGATCCACCTGTCACTGACGTGTCTGCAGCTGCAGTACGGAGATGTCTTCCAAATGCATATGGGCTCCCTTGTGGTGGTGGTGCTGGTACAGCAGGGTGAGGCAATCGCTGGACGCACTGACCTCTTCACCTTCTCCACCGTGGCCAATGGCACTAGCATGACATTCAGCGAGAAATACGGCGCTGCCTGTGTGCTCCACAAGAAGCTGTGCAAGAACGCCCTGTGCTCCTTCTCGCATGCAGAGCTGCGGGGCCCTGGCACCACCTGTCTGCTAAAGGAGCACGTGTGCGCCGAGGCGGCTCGTATGGTGGAGGTCATTTGGGAGCACTCAGAGGGGAGCGAGGGGCTAGGTCTGGACCTTGTGGTCCCGCTGGTCACGTCGGTGGCAAAATTGGTGTGTGTCTTGTGTTTCGGGAAGAGGTATGACTACAATGACACGGAGTTCCTCACTATTGTGCACATCAACAACGAGGTGTTGCAGATCTTTGCTGCAGGAAACCTGGTCGACTTGTTACCTGTGTTCCGCTACCTGCCGAGCCCGTCTCTGAGGAAGATAATAATAATAATAATATGCCATTTAGCAGACGCTTTTATCCAAAGCGACTTACAGTCATGCGTGCATACATTTTTGTGTATGGGTGGTCCCGGAGATCGAACCCACTACCTTGGCATTACAAGCGCCGTGCTCTACCAGCTGAGCTGGTTGAGCACATCAACAGAATGAACAGCTTCATGGAACGCAATATCGAGGAGCACCTGGAGACCTTTGAAAAAGTATGAGCCACACCTGGGTCATGCAAATCAGAGCACGCCACAGAAAAATGTTTTAAAACAGAAAACAAAACATGAGTGCTTCTTTTTGGGACAAGTCCATGTTGAGTGCATCTTTTTGGGACAAGTCCAAGTAGTCACTCCCTGTTTCAGTCAGTTTTCTTCTGTTTGGTGGCTAATCCCAAGCGAAAAAATTTTAATATTTAAATATGCTTAAATCATACTTCATGAATATATTTTAAGTATATTTAAAATATCTAAATTGAAACCATTTTGAATACATTTAATGCATTTAATGTCCATTTTATTGATATTTTATTAGCATTTGTATATTAAAATACTTTTAAAAATGCTCTCAATTGGGACACTTTTTTGTACTTAAGATATTCTTTAGTATAGTATATTAATAATGAGCACTATACTTTATTATTGCTATATAATTCTAAGAAATATACTAAAATTAAATATCCATTTTAAAATGATCTTAAGTTTTATATACTTTCAAAAACGTAAACTTCACTCTTAACACACTTAATTAGCATGTAAAGGTTACCTTGATGACCAAGGCATCTCCTCAGCAAATGTTAACATGCTATTTACAAAGCAGTTGTGGCTGGAGCAGCAATTTACAAGTAACACTTTTGGAGATTGTGCACCATTGGCATTTCACACTTTAGTTCTTCACATTACGGTAATAAATTAACATTTCAATAAAATGTGTAATATGTAAGGTGTAATTAAAAGTACAGCATTATTTAGTTTGGAAATTAACCTCAAAACATTTGAATAAGCCAAATATGAGGAACAATATCATATTATAAATCAAAACTTCAACACGAAAGGATGCTGGGGAATATGCCATTTCTGTGCACATGCGTTTTTAAAAAGTATACTTTAAATATATTTTGTGGACATTTAAGTTAAATCTACTTTTTTGGAAGTATACTTAAGTATATTTTCTTGAGATATGAAAAACTATACTCTCAGGAAGAATGTTCCTCTGCTGTGCAATAAACAATCGTTATCATTGTCAACTTTCTCTGCACTTTTCTGAACAGAATTTCAGAAATTACTTCAAAACTCATTATTGGCACTGAAACTACAGTGCCTTGCAAACGTATTCATAACCCTTGGATTTATTCACATTTTGTTGTTACAACGTGGGATTAAAATGGATTTGTAATTTGTACTTTTTTGACAACAATCTACACAAAATACTATAATGTCAAAGTGGAAGATTTCTATTTATTTGTTTTCAAAAGGTGGATAGAAATTAAATAACTAAATATAGTCATTGCATAAGTATTTAGCTCCCTGAGTCAATATATGCTAGAACACCATGGAAGCAATTACAGCGATGAGGCTTCTTGGGTAAGTCTCTAAGAGCTTACTCACCTGGATTGTGAAACATTAGCCCTTATTCTTTTCATAATTCTTCAAGCTCTGTCAATATGTTGGTGCTCACGGCTACACAGCAAATTTCAAATGTTGCCATAGATTTTCAAGCAGATTTAAGTCAAAACTGTAACTTGGACACATTCGATGACAATTAGTCACATCAGTGAAAATCAAACTGTCCACTTAGAAGCACACTGATTTAAATGTCCTGCTGTTGTGCAAATGAAATGGACAACAGGTGGAAATTATAGGCAATTAGCAAGACACCCCCAATAAAGGACTGTTTTGCATGTGGTGACAACAGACCACTTCTCAGTTCCTATGCTTCCTGGCTGATGTTTTGGTCACTTTTGTATGCTGGCGGTGCTTTCACTCTAGTGGTAGCATGAGACGGAGTCTACAACCCACACCAAGTGGCTCAGTAAGTGCAGCTCATCCAGGATGGCACATCAATGCGAGCTGTGGCAAGAAGGTTTTGCTGTGTCTGTCAGCGTAGTGTCCAGAGCATGGAGGCGCTACCAGGAGACAGGCCAGTACATCAGGAGACGTGGAGGAGGCCGTAGGAGGGCAACAACCCAGCAGCAGGACTGCTACCTCCACCTTTGTGCAAGGAGGAGCAGGGGGGAGCACTGCCAGAGCCCTGCAAAATGACCTCCAGCAGGCCACAAATGTGCATGTGTCTGCTCAAATGGTCAGAAACAGACTCCATGAGGGTGGTATGAGGGCCCGACGTCCACAGGTGGGGGTTGTGCTTACAGCCCAACACCGTGCAGGACGTTTGGCATTTGCCAGAGAACACCAAGATTGGCAAATTCGCCACTGGCGCCCTGTGCTCTTCACAGATGAAAGCAGGTTCACACTGAGCACGTGACAGACGTGACAGAGTCTGGAGACGCCGTGGAGAACGTTCTGCTGCCTGCAACATCCTCCAGCATGACCGGTTTGGCGGTGGGTCAGTCATGGTGTGGGGTGGCATTTCTTTGGGGGGCCGCACAGCCCTCCATGTGCTTGCCAGAGGTAGCCTGACTGCCATTAGGTACCGAGATGAGATCCTTAGACCCCTTGTGAGACCATATGCTGGTGCGGTTGGCCCTGGGTTCCTCCTAATGCAAGACAATGCTAGACCTCATGTGGCTGGAGTGTGTCAGCAGTTCCTGCAAGAGGAAGGCATTGATGCTATGGACTGGCCCGCCCGTTCCCCAGACCTGAATCCAATTGAGCACATCTGGGACATCACGTCTCACTCCATCCACCAACGCCACATTGCACCACAGACTGTCCAGGAGTTGGCGGATGCTTTAGTCCAGGTCTGGGAGGAGATCCCTCAGGAGACCATCCGCCACCTCATCAGGAGCATGCCCAGGCATTGTAGGGAGGTCATACAGGCACGTGGAGGCCACACACACTACTGAGCCTCATTTTGACTTGTTTTAAGGACATTACATCAATGTTGGATCAGCCTGTAGTGTGGTTTTCCACTTTAATTTTGAGGGTGACTCCAAATCCAGACCTCCATGGGTTGATACATTTAATTTCCATTGATAATTTTTGTGTGATTTTGTTGTCAGCACATTCAACTATGTAAAGAAAAAAGTATTTAATAAGATTATTTCATTCATTCAGATCTAGGATGTGTTATTTTAGTGTTCCCTTTATTTTTTTGAGCAGTGTATATTTCTCATCAATTAGAAATATACTAAAATGGTATTTGAATTAGAATTCCTGTATTTTCTTTACAAAAAAGTGTATTTGTAATGTGTTTCAAGTATACTTCTACAAATACGTTACACTTCTACTCATTAACCACTTTAGCTATTTTAATTAGCCATGTAAAGGTTACCTTGATTGACCAAGGCATCTCCTCAGCCAATGTTAACATGCTATTTACAAAGCAGTTGTGGCTGGAGCAGCAATTTACAAGTAACACTTTTGAGAATTGTGCACCATTGGCATTTCACACTTTAGTTCTTCACATTACGGTAATAAATTAACATTTCAATAAAATGTGTAATATGTAAGGTGTAATTAAAAGTACAGCATTATTTAGTTTGGAAATTAACCTCAAAACATTTGAATAAGCCAAATATGAGGAACAATATCATATTATAAATCAAAACTTCAACACGAAAGGATGCTGGGGAATATGCACATTTCTGTGCACATGCGTTTTTGAAAGTATACTTTAAATATATTTTGTGGACATTTAAGTTAAATATACTTTTTTGGAAGTATACTTAAGTATATTTTCTTGAGATATGAAAAACTATACTCTCAGGAAGCATGTTCCTCTGCTGTGCAATAAACAATCGTTATCATTGTCAACTTTCTCTGCACTTTTCTGAACAGAATTTCAGAAAGTACTTAAAAACTCATTATTGGCACTGAAACTACAGTGCCTTGCAAAAGTATTCATAACCCTTGGATTTATTCACATTTTGTTGTTACAACGTGGGATTAAAATGGATTTGTAATTTGTACTTTTTTGACAACAATCTACACAAAATACTATAATGTCAAAGTGGAAGATTTCTATTTATTTGTTTTCAAAAGGTGGATAGAAATTAAATAACTAAAATATAGTCATTGCATAAGTATTTAGCTCCCTGAGTCAATATATGCTAGAAACACCATTGGAAGCGATTACAGCGATGAGGCTTCTTGGGTAAGTCTCTAAGAGCTTTACTCACCTGGATTGTGAAACATTAGCCCTTTATTCTTTTCATAATTCTTCAAGCTCTGTCAATATGTTGGTGCTCACGGCTACACAGCAAATTTCAAATGTTGCCATAGATTTTCAAGCAGATTTAAGTCAAAACTGTAACTTGGACACATTCTGTCTTCTTGGTAAGCAACTCCAGTGTAGATTTGGCCTTGTGTTGTAGGTTATTGTCCTGCTGAAAGGTGAATTCCTCTCTCAGTGTCTGAAGCAAGGTTTCCTCTAAGATTTTGCCTGTGCTTAACTCCATCCAGTTTATTTTTATCCTGAAAAACTCCCTAGTATTTGCCGATGTCATGCATACCCATACCATGATGCAGCCACCACCATGCTTGAAAATAAGGTGGCAGTTACTCAGTGATGTGTTGTGTTGGATTTGCACCAAACAAACAGTATAGCTTTGCATTTTGCAGTATTACTTTAGTGCCTTGTTGCATACAAGATGAACAGTATGTTTTGGAATATTCTGTATATTGCAGCTCAGTTCAGAAGGACGACTGTATCTTTGATGTGTCTGGATGATTTAATACATAATCCACAGCATAATTATTCACTTGACCATGTTTAAAGAGATATTCATTGTCTGATTTGATGTTGTTAACGATCTACTAATCACTGCCCTTTTATGAGGCTTTCAAAAGGCTCTCTGGTCTTTGTGTTTGAAATTCAATACGTGACTGAGGGACCTTACAGATCTTGTATGTATGGGGGACAGAGGAAGGGTTAGTCATAAACAAATTAATGTCAACCCCTATTATTTCACACAGAGTCCATGTAACATATTCTGTGATTTGTTATGCCAAATTTTACTCCTGAACTAATTTATGCCTGCCTAAACAAAGAGGCTGAATACTTATGCAATGACTATATTTTAGTTATTTAGTAACTTTTTTTTTTTTTTTCACTTTGACATTACACAGTATTTTGAGTTCATTGTTGACAACAAATTACAATTATATCAATTTTAATCCCAGATTTTAACACAATAAAACTTGAAGAAATACAAGGGGTATGAATACTTTTGCAAAAACAACTCCAAGTGTATTTTTAATGAATATACTAAATTAATGAGTGTGTTTAAGTTTAATGATAGTGAACTTAAAGACTGAAAAATAATTAATTTAAAGTACACTTTTAATAAGTGTATTGAAGGTTGATGATAGTATATTAAAAGTATACCAAAATACTGAAAAAACAATCAATATAAAGTACACTTTTAATAAGTGTGATATAGTATATTTATAGTATACATAAGATATACTAGAAAAATACATCTCATATTTAAAGTATATTATTTGAATTTGTTGTATATTTAAGTATACTTTTTCGCTTGGGATGAACAGACCCTGAACACAGACAGTATGATATATTGCAATGTTGATGTATGATAACATATCCAACGGGATTCAGCCATTCTGCTGTTACAGCTGGAGGCAGGAACAGGGTATGTTGATAGATATGCTATTGAAACTATGGGCTATAGGCGTAAAATCTTTAATGTGTATACAGTGAAAAAGCATGTTGACGTGGATAGTTTTTGCAGACATCTCAACTTGGAGAGAAATCTCAGCTTTCATGTGTGACTTTTAGGCTGAATTTGTAGATTAGTAAACTGTTAAATTAGATATGTTCAGTGCTATCAGATTCTGGTACAGAAGCACAGAAAACCAATCAGCCATTGAGGGATTTGTTTCAGTGCTGGAGGGATAGACAGAGAGTGAAGGAATTACGCAGGGGTGAAGGAAAGGAAGAGATGGGAGAGAGGGAGGGAGAGATAGTTTGAGAAGAGGTAAATGTGGAAAAAGGAGGGTTCCTTTTTGGAAAGCATGTTTTTGCTTGTGATTTTGCCTCTTCAGGTTGCATATGACAGTAGGAAATACATGAACAGCTGAAATCAAAGCTACAGTATAAGAGACCTACACTTATATCTACGACAGTGCAGACCAGGCTTATATCTACCAAACGAGGCTAAAGTGGACCTTTGTTCTTGTGCACAGTGTCTAAAATGCTCGCATGTACTCTTTAATTAGGAATTATTAATCCGGTGGAAGACACGTGCTGACATGTTTTCAAGAAGATGCTGCCATTTACTGTCAGTCTCACTATTACAATTCGATGGTACATTTGATTAGCGGGTCGTGTGCTAAAGTTTTGAAAGGATTACATTTCATTGTAAGTGTATATTGAATAAGACACAGATATAAGCTGGAGTGGCAAGGTTACGACTCCTCCTTGCGCATTTAAGATGAATCTTAATCTTAACAGCTGCAGGCATTAAGTAGAGGGTAAAGTAAAGTCTTAAGTAACGTTTTGATGATGTGTGTGTTTCCAGGACTGTATCCGTGACATCACAGATGCTCTGATTGCACTCTGTGAGGAGCGGCAGGAGGATGAGGTCACAGCAGTGCTGTCCAACTCCCAGATCATACACACTGTCACCAACATCTTTGGAGCAGGTGAGAGAGACGGAACAGAGAAATTATGCAACACCTGATTTGAAGGTCTGCTTAAAAACAGCATATTAACACAAAGGCTATTACACAGATTGTTAGTTCTTTAAAATAAATGTGTCAACTGACCATGAGGCGATTTCAGGGCTGTGGCTGTTGTATGTTTGCTGAGACTATATTTTCAAATCCAGATTTGTTAAATTTTTGGGGAAGATCTCCATGCCTAGCAGGGATGGGTTGAAGAATACCTTTGAACAGACCAACAATACAGCAACCTCTTTAAGTTAGCGTTCATAATAGCATGGATATGGTGATGGTAATATAGACGATTGTAACTGATGTTACATTTTTTATTTTATTTTAACATTTCAGGATTCGATACCATTATAGCTGGTTTGCAGTGAAGCCTCCTATACCTCATCAAGTTTCCTGAAATCCAGGTCAAAATACACCAGGAGATTGATACTGTACATCCTCTGTAAATGAATAACTCCTCCTGCCTGAACAGCACTTCTTATAGTGTAATACCCTATGCCCTTATAGCGCTATATGGTCTTATTGTCTCCTCATACCTTGTCTCTTTGTATGTCTGCTTGTGTGTCTGCTTTACCTGGTACTTTACCTGCTAAGAATAATTCCTTTGTTTTATAAAAATGGATGGGAGTTCAGCTGTTTTATGAATGAACGGTCATTCCTGACAAACAGCACGTCCTAATGAGCAGAGATTCCTGCAGTACCACCCAGTTTGACAGTTTGACGGTGTAGATGGGCCGTCTGTGCAGTTCCATACAATGATCTAATCTTTCATAGACGGATCCACGTCTTTGTTTGGTTCAGGCGACCACATTGGCCCTGCCAGACTACCTCGGTTTGTGGACGAGACCAAGATGCCTTTTACCGAGGCCTTCATATGCGAGGTGTTCCGTCACACATCCTACGTCCCCTTCAAACCAAATCAAATCAATTTGTATTGGTCACATACACGTGTTTAGCAGATGTTATTGCTGGTGTAGCGAAACGCTTGTGCTTCTAGCTCCGACAGTGCAGTAATATCTAACAATTTCACAACATATACCCAATACACACAAATCTAAGTAAGGAATTAATTAAGAATATATACATATATGGACGAGCGACGTCAGAGCCGCATGGACTAAGATACAGTAGAATAGTATAGAATACAGTATATACATATGAGATGAGTAATGCAAGATATGTAAACATTATTAAAGTGACTAAGATACCGTAGAATAGTATAGAATACAGTATATACATATGAGATGAGTAATGCAAGATACGTAAACATTATTAAAGTGGCTAGTGTTCCATTTATTAAAGTGGCCAGTGATTTCTAGTCTATGTCTATAGGCAGCAGCCTCTAATATTCTAGTGATGGCTGTTTAACAGTCTGATGGCCTTGAGATAGAAGCTGCTTTTCAGTCTCTCGGTCCCAGCTTTGATGCACCTGTACTGACCTCGCCTTCTGGATGATAGAGGGGTGAACAGGCAGTGGCTCGGGTGGTTGATGTCCTTGATGATATTTTTGGCCTTCCTGTGACATCGGGTGCTGTAGGTGTCCTGGAGGGCTGGTAGTTTGCCCCCGGTAATGCGTTGGGCAGACCGCGCCACCCTCTGGAGAGCCTTGCGGTTGCGGGCGGTGCAGTTGCCGTACCAGGCGGTGATACAGCCCGACAGGATGCTCTCAATTGTGCATCTGTAAAAGTTTGTGAGGGTTTTAGGTGCCAAGCCAAATGTCTTCAGCCTCCTGAGGTTGAAGAGGCTCTGTTGTGCTTCACCACACTCTGTGTGGGTGGTCCATTTCAGTTTGTCAGTGATGTGTACGCCGAGGAACTTGAAGCTTTCCACCTTCTCCACTGCGGTCCCGTCGATGTGGATAGGTGGGTGTTCCTTCTGCTGAAGTCCACGATCATCTCCTCTGTTTTGTTGACGTTGAGTGAGAGGTTACTTTCCTGGCACCACACTCCCAGAGCCCTCACCTCCTCCCTGTAGGCTGTATCGTCATTGTTGGTAATCAAGCCTACTACTGTTGTGTCGTCTGCAAACTTAATGATTAAGTTGGAGGTGTGCGTAGCCACGCAGTCATGGGTGAACAGGGAGTACAGGAGTGGGCTGAGCACGTACCCCTGTGGGGACCCAGTGTTGAGGATCAGCGAGGTGGAGCTGTTGTTTCCTACCTTTACCACCTGGGGGCGGCCCGTCAGGAAGTCCAGGACCCTGTTTCACAGGGCAGGGTTCAGACCCAGGGCCTCGAGCTTAATGATGAGCTTGGAGGGTACTATGGTGTTGAATTCTGAGCTATAGTCAATGAACAGCATTCTTACATAGGTATTCCTCTTGTCCAGATGGGATAGGGCAGTGTGCAGGGTGATGGCGATTGCATCGTCTGTGGATGTATTGGGGTGGTAAGCAATTTGAAGTGGGTCTAGAGTGGCAGGTAAGGTAGAGGTGATATGATCCTTGACTAGTCTCTCAAAGCACTTCATGATGACAGAGGTGAGTGCTATGGGGCGATAGTCATTTATTTCAGTTACCTTTGCTTTCTTGGGTAAAGGAACAATGGTGGCCCTCATGAAGCATGTGGGGACAGCAGACTGGGATAGGGAGAGATTGAATATGTCCGTAAACACACCAGCCAGCTGGTCTGCGCATGCTCTGAGGACGTGGCTAGGGATGCCGTCTGGGCCGGCAGACTTGTGATGGTTAACACGTTTAAATGTTTTACTCACATCGGCCACGGAGAAGAAGTGCCCACAGACTTTGGTAGCGGGCCGCGTCGGTGTCACTGTGTTATCCTCAAAGTGGGTGAAGAAGGTGTTTAGCTTGTCCGTAAGCAAGACGTCAGTCTGGGCGATGTGGCTGGTTTTCCTTTTGTAGTCCGTGATTGTCTGTAGACCCTGCCACATACGTCTCGTGTCTGAGGCGTTCCATTGCGACTCCACTTTGTCTCTATACTGACGTTTTGCTTGTTTGATTGCCTTGCGGAGTGAATAACTACACTGTTTGTATTCTGCCATATTCCCAGTCAACTTGCCATGGTTAAATGCGGTGGTTCGGCGCGAATGCTGCCATCTATCCACGGTTTCTGGTTAGGGTAGGTTTTAATAGTCACAGTGGGTACGACATCTCCTATACACTTCCTGATAAACTCAGTTACTGTATCAGGGTATTCGTCTAAATTATTTTCGGAAGCTACCCGGAACACATCCCAGTCCGCGTGATCAAAACAATCCTGAAGCGTGGATTCCGATTGGTCAGACCAGCGTTGGATAGTCCTTAGAACGGGTACTTCCTGTTTGAGTTTCTGCCTGTAGGAAGGGAGAAGCAAAATGGAGTCGTGGTCAGATTTGCCAAAAGGAGAGTGGGGGAGGGTCTTGTAAGCATCCCGGAAGTTTGAATAACAGTGGTCGAGTGTTTTAGCATTGCGAGTACTACAGTCGATATGTTGATAGAACTTCGGCAGCCTAGTCCTCAAATTTGCTTTGTTAAAATCTCCAGCTACAATAAATGCAGCCTCAGGATATGTGGTTTCCAGTTTGCATGAAGTCCAGTGAAGTTCTTTGAGGGCCGTTGTGGTATCGGCTTGAGGGGGGATATAAACGGCCATGGCTATAACAGAGGAAAAATCTCTTGGGAGATAATACGGTCGGCATTTGATTGTGAGGTATTCTAGGTCGGGTGAACAAAACAACTTGAGTTCCTGTATGTTACTACAATTACACCATTAGTCTTTAATCATGAAACACACACCTCCATCCTTCTGCTTCCCGGAGAGATATTTATTCCTGTCTGCGTGATGAACTGGGAATCCCTCTGGCTGGACCGATTTCGACAGAGTATCCGAGAAAGACATGTTTCCATGGAACAAAGTATGTTACAGGCCCTCATGTCTTTTTGGAAAGAAATCCTTGCCCTGAGCTCGTCAACTTTGTTATCCAAAGGCTGAACATTAGCGAGTAATATACTCGGAAGCGGTGGGTGGTGTGCGCGTCTCCTAAGTCGAACCAGCCTGCCTCGAGTGCCTCTCCTCTGCTGCCAATATTTTGGGTCGGCTTCTGGAATCAGTTCAATTGCTCTGGGGAGAGTGAACAAAGGATCTGCTTCGGGGAAGTCATATTCCTGGTCGTAATGCTGGTAGTTCTGGTGAGTTACCGCCGCTCTGATATCCAATAGTTCTTCCCGGCTGTATGTAATGACACAAAACATTTCCTGAGCTAATAATGTAAAAAATAATACATAAAAAAACTAAATACTGCAAAGTTTCCTAAGAGCTAGTCGCGAGGCCGCCATCTCCGTCGGCGCCATCTTACGCTTCACCATACCACACTGGTGAGGCTCAGATAACAGTTACAGTAACAACTTGTAATGTTTATTTCTGCATGTTGCCTGTCTGCTAGTATATGCAGATCAAAGTGTTAGCTCTAGGAATGGAATGTTGCTATTTACACAGTTGGTCTCTTTTGTCCTGCTTTTCTTCCCTTTAGCACCACAGAAAACATCACACTCAATGGATACTTCATTCCTAAGGACACATGTGTCTTCATCAATCAGTATCAAGTTAATGTGAGTGTTATCTGTATGCATCTCAAAACAAACTTCTCAATATCCATTTTAGTCCTTTGAGGAGGTGACATGACTATTTGGAGATGTCAATGACAGAATGCATTTGAAACATCACGCACAGTAAAACTTAATCCAATTATTTTATTTATAGGAGTGGGATAAAAGGTGCTTGTGCATCGATAAGCACACCAAAGCGGGCATTAACTGTAAGTAATAAAATAAAGACTGCACTTCAACAAGCCTATTTCACACCATAGCCTGTTGAAATTGCAAGATAACTTTTCTTTCATTTTGATTTCGGCACAAATTTAAATGTGGCACTGACTCGCCCATGGATTGATGTTTCAGCATTGTCTCATTGAAGAGATCAGCGTTCAACTAGACACGTGCGACATGCACACGCAGTTACAACATTTTACATTTAAGTCATTTAGCAGACGCTCTTATCCAGAGCGACTTACAGTTAGTGAGTGCATAATATATTTTTTTCATACTGGCCCCCCGTGGGAATCGAACCCACAACCCTGGCGTTGCAAGCGCCATGCTCTACCAACTGAGCTACAGGAGGCCTAGAGTTAGCAGCAGGCGGGCGAGCAATATCCATCGTAGTAGTTAACGGATGAAGCCTGAACTGGAATGTGAAGCTAACTAAAGCTGGCTAGCTCTAGAAAACCCAGAGTAGATCTAGCTTCAATCGTAGTAGTAAACAGACCGAAACAGGGAGGGACTGACTACTTGGACTTGTCCAATAAGAAATGCTAATTTTTGTTTCCAAGTTCAAAACATTTTCCGTTGTGTGCCCTAATGAACACAACCCTCTTGTGGTCGTCACTGGTCTGTTGTCGTTTTTCTAATTTGTAGAGATCTGTGGGGTGACCCAGACGTGTTCTGCCCCGAGCGCTTCCTGGGTGAAGAGGGACTGCTCAACAAAGACCTGACAGAGAAGGTCATGATCTTCGGGATGGGGTAAAGGCTCTGCCTGGGTGACGGTTTCGCCTGGTTGGAAATGTTTGTGTTCCTGCCCACACTGCTCCACTGGCTGTGTATCAAGAATGTTCCGGGACAGGAGCTAGATCTCAGTAACGATTTTGGGCTCACCATGAAGTCCTGCCCCTACATGATCAACAGCATCAACTACAATGAGGCCACAACTGGCTTGACTGGGCAGCACCTCGCCCACACCATCATAACGCACAGAAACCATGGCTACTCAGACACCAACACATAACTACTATACAGACTGAACACAACATCTTGACCTGGCAGTGGCGTCATTACAACTGTAATGCAAACACAGTTGCTAGCTGTCAGAGTCAAGACAGAGTTGAGCTGATACAAAGTGAGCAGCCATAACTAAGGATTTGTCCAGAGCCATTTGCTCATTGGTAATAAAATTGATTGATATTGATATTTAGCATGTTATATGCTATTATAGTGGTTTAAGGTAGGCCTATTCTATATATAACGTAAGCACTTTTATGATATCTGAATATAATGTTAGAATATCTATGCATTCCAAGATTTTGAAAACTGTATTGTACAGGGTCATCCCCAGTATTATTTTGACTATTAGGGATGGTGATTGGTCCTTCCACCTTCATCAAGTGGAACGAGTTTAGAAATGCCTTTTATTAAAACCCCTATCTGGTTATTAATTACAACTAAACGCTTAGGAAGACAGGGAGTGTTGTTTTAGATAAGTGATCAGAGCCTTGGGCACCATGCAGCGTTCACTCAGGGTTCATTCCTACCCAACTCACTCCTCCACCCCTCCTCTCCATCTGTAACTCAGGGGTTTAAAGAGATCTCTCTATCTCCCTTTCGCTCTCCAATCCCCTTCCTAAGTAGTTGCCAGAGCTACTCATAGATAGAGTAGAATCGCCTTTTTACATATGCTCTCCCCTCTCTCCAACAGACAGATTAGACACAGTCTTTGGATCTATCAGACTTATTCCAGGGAGGTTAAGAGGACAGAAGACACACGTCTGTGAAATTCACATTTGGATGCTGTGATGTTCTATTTTAATATAATTTTTATGAGATAAAACTAGAACTGAAAAGCCATGACAATACATTTTTGAATAAGATGAGTATTTGACATTATCTAAGCTTGATTTCCAGTATATGTTCAGAGAAGTATTCATGGATGTTACAACAGTGAAGCCATTTGAGAAACATGTCCTTATTCAGACAACAGTGTGCACCATGCTTTGCTATAAAGCAGTGGGATGGGACTGGAGAAATGTGACCACTCAAAATCATAGATTGAGATAAAAAAATTATGATGTTAATCATATTTTAAAGCATTGTTTGTTTATAAAGACTGATTCTTTAAGAAGATAACTTGCCTCATAAGCTTAGTTTAACCGCCTAAACCAAACTGAACCCAAAATATAAAATTGTTTTACTCCACATTATTTGTACAAATGTATTGTAAACAAACACTCTATAGCTTCAAAACATCTCATGGATGATCAGTCCTTGTTTCCAAAGCTCTGTCTATGAATTTGAGTGGTTAAATCGCTCCACCCCATCCCTAAGCTGTTTACCAAAACAAGTGGCGAGGCGGCAATTTTGTTGTTTTTCAAAACCCAGACTGTAGCTTTAATGCAGTTGTATAAAGTCATTTACAAATTATATTCTGCATGAATCAATTCAAAGTTGAACTGGTTTCATGTTCAGGCTCCATATTATCGCCTACATGATAAATCTTGTTATATGCGCCATAGGAGAAATTAAGGAACATGATTGGAGTGGCGCATGGACTCAACTCAACTTGAGACCACTTTTGAGGTGAAAATATCAGAAAAATGACTCCACTCGAAAGAGACCTTTGCAGAAATTAGGCTTTCATTCAATTTGGACAAAGAAAGGCCCTCAAATATTTGACCCTAAGGGAGTTTTAACCACTCCTCAGACCTCAGTATAGAGGCAGTTTAGGAGCATTATTTTATTTTATTTGAAAGGACATACGGAAACAGAGAGAGGAAGATACAAAGTTTAGATGAGCATAGACTGAAGTGGCCGATATGGGGCTTGAACCCATAGAGACGGGGGCTTGTGTGGTCTGGATTAGGGAGCATCATCTGCTTCCGTACCTCCGATTCCGTCACGCAGTTAGAATTGTTTTGACTTACCTACATTTCTAATTCACTCTGTGCTGTGCTGTCAAAGGAGACTCCAACTATGTCCATTATAGCAGAGAGATCGTTTGGGCGGGTGAAAGAAGGGTTGTTAATTAGCAAAATAGCTGCCATACTCTCCGGAGAACGCGACCCCCCTACGCTCACCCCATTTCCCTGCCTGTTCCCTCTGCTCTCGGATCAACCCAAATGTCTCTCACTTAGTTCTAGTCAGCAGAGCTCATAGTATGTATTAAACTATGGAGCTATTAAGAATAACAAACCAGGGTGAGCATGTGTAGAAGCAGCTCTGAAGGGGCCAATACAGCAGGAACGCACAAACAGAATCTGCAGGCTAATGCGGCAGAAAACACTTGAGGGGTACAGCATGGTTTAAAAAATGATGAGCAATTAGGATCGCCCCATTGAAGACCAAGGGAGGTCTACAGATGTCGGATCTTAATTTGACCCATTTCGCCGCAGGAGGAAAATAATCCTTCAGCAGGAGGATTTGAATGAATATTGAATATTTAGAATCACGGCCATGGGGCAGCTGGAGTTAAGCTATAGACATTTTTGGGAAGGTAAAAAATAACAAACTCATTTAGAATGCACGGCCCCACTCTACCTCTGGCTAGCTAGCTGCCAAGTGCACGTTACAAGCAGCAAAGTAAACAAAGTGTACTTATAAAGACAGAAAAGCAGGGTTACATGTAGCTTAGTCAGTGTATGGAGAAGTCGGAGGCAGAGCTAGCCAGCCGGATACTTTAGAGGACGTGGGCTACTTGGCCTGGATAGTGGAGTGAAGCAGCAGGCTGTATTGGGGAGGTGTGCAGCGGACACTGTCACCTCCATAGAAATTAGACTCCTTGTATGACAGGTAGAGATAGTGGGACAACTTTTTCACAGGTCTGTAGGAAATGTTTTACTTCGAAGCCGAATTTTTATATTTATCGGCTTATAATTGCAAAGATTTTATAGGCTATTTTAGTCAACTTGTCTAGTCAAATAGGCCTACACTAGGCCTGCAGCTTCTCTTCACTCATAACATCTTGCCTTAGAAGACAAATTAATGATAATACTATAATTAATGCATCTATCGTCTAGCTGACACCTGAAAAGCTTTCTCTTTCAATGTTACTCCTCTCCATGGGACCGGGGAGAAAACAAATTGGCTCTAAACAGCGTAGCCTACAGTACCAGTCAAAAGTTTGGACACACCTACTCATTCAAGGGTTTTTCTTTATTTTGACCATTTTCTACATTGTAGAATAATAGTGAAGACATCAAAACTATGAAATAACACATATGGAATCATGTAGTAACCAAAAAAGTGTTAAGAAAATCAAAATATATTTTATATTTGAGATTCTTCAAAGTAGACACCCTTTGCCTCGATGACAGCTTTGCACACTCTTGGCATTCTCTCAACCAGCTTCACCTGGAATGCTTTTCCACATATGCTGAGCACTTGTTGGCTGCTTTTCCTTCACTCTGCGGTCCGACTCATCCCAAACCATCTCAGTTGGGTTGAGGTCGGGGGATTGTGGAGGCCAGGTCATCTGATGCAGCACTCCATCACTCTCCCTCTTGGACAAATAGCCCTTACACAGCCTGGAGGTGTGTTGGGTCATCGTCCTGTTGAAAAAAACAAATGATAGTCCCACTAAGCGCAAACCAGATGGGATGGCGTATCGCTGCAGAATGCTGTGGTAGCCATGCTGGTTAAGTGTGCCTTGAATTCTAAATAGATCACTGACAGTGTCACCAGCAAAGCACCCCCACACCATCACACCTCCCCCTCCATGCTTCACAGTGGGAACCACACATGCGGAGATCATGCATTCACCTACTCTGCGTCTCACAAAGACATAGCGGTTGGAACCAAAAATCTCAAATTTGGACTCATCAGACCAAAGGACAGATTTCCACCGGTCTAATGTCCATTGCTCGTGTTTCTTGGCCCAAGCAAGTCTCTTCTTCTTCTTGGTGTCCTTGAGTAGTGGTTTCTTTGCAGCAAATCGACCATGAAGGCCTGATTCACACTGTCTCCTCTGAACAGTTGATGTTGAGATGTGTCTGTTACTTGAACTCTGTGAAGCATTTATTTTGGCTGCAATTTCTGAGGCTGGTAACTCTAATGAACTTATCCTCTGCAGCAGAGCGCTTGATGGTTTTTGCAACTGCACTTGAAGAAACTTTCAAAGTTCTTGAAATTTTCCTGATTGACTGACCTTCATGTCTTTAAGTAATTATGGACTGTCATTTCTCTTTGCTTATTTGAGCTGTTCTTGCCATAATACGGTCTTGGTCTTTTACCAAATAGGGCTATCTTCTGTATACCACCCCTACCTTGTCACAACACAACTGATTGGCTCAAACGCATTAAGAAGGAAAGAAATTCCACAAATTAACTTTTAAGAAGGCACACCTGTTAATTTAAATGCATTCCAGGTGACTACCTCATGAAGCTGGTTGAGAGAATGCCAATAGTGTGCAAAGCTGTCATCAAGGTAAAGGGTGGCTACTTTGAAGAATCTCAAATATAAAATATATTTTGATTTGTTTAACAGTTTTTTGGTTAATCTTTGGTTACTACATGATGCCATATGTGTTATTTCATAGTTTTGATGTCTTCACTATTATTCTACAATGTAGAAAATAGTAAAAAAATAAAGCAAAATCATGGAATGAGTAGGTGTTTCCAAACTTTTGACTGGTACTGTACATATTCTTCCCTTGCAAACATTTTCAGATTAAAACCATTGAAAACTAAAATCCATGTTTCTGATAATAATTCACTTCGTCATTGATGCATTTTGTCCGTGGTTGAAATACTGACAGCTGT